GCGACCTCTGGGATGAAGCCATGTTGCAGGCGCGGGTGGGTTGATTCTGGGAACTTGAATTGTGAGAAGAGACAAGACGTTGGGAAATGAGTGACAAACAGTTACTCACCAGTGACTCACGGCCTACCCGTACCCGTACTCGGCCGCACCAGGGTCGCAAACGGGTACCCGTACCCGGCCGGGTACGGGTAGCCGGGTATCGGGTACCCGGTTGCTACCTCTGTCGTACACCCCCCCCCCCCCCCACCACCACCTGGTATATCGGTAAATGAATAAATGTGGCTCCTAAATAAAAACAGGCGACGGGTTCCTCGAGCCTCAGTTTTGTAGCTCCCAAGTGGAAATTTCCACTGATATTTGGCATTCACAGCGGTGGGGACGGTAAGTTGAGAGGAGGGGAAGGGAGATAAACTCCCCATCACCCCCCCCTCCTCCTACTTAAGGTGCTCCATGCAGCCGGCCACCCTTTTACCACGAGCCAGACGGGTGGCGATGAACGATCAACGTCCCCGTCGTTCATCACGCCGCGCCGCACGCCAATGCCAACACCGCCGCGGTTGTCGATGATGCCCCTACACCGGCACCACCACCAGCACCACCACCACCAGCACCACCAGCACCACCAGCACCACCACCACCACCAGCACCACCACCACCACCAGCACCACCACCAGCACCACCACCACCAGCACCACCTTCCTTCCTTGCCCTCCCTAATCGTAATTCCCAACACCGGCTGCTACGCCGTCTGCTCCGCAATCATTTTGGGCGAATCGGCAAGGACACGGGGAGGTGTTGGCAGGGGGAGGGGGGGGCGCTGGGGGTGAAGGTGGAAGAGGCGGGGGTAGGGGGGGGGTGGAGTTGGGGGGGAAGAGGAGGAGGGGGGGGTGGTTGGGCATGGGGTTGGTGGGGTGGCTCAGGCAGAGATGGTGGTGGAGTGGGAGTGGTGGTGGAGGGGTGTGGAGGAGGGGGCTCAGACAGAGATGGTGGTGGAGTAGGAGTGGTGGTGGGGGGAGGTGGGTCAGACCGACACGCACGCACCAGACTCCCTCCGTCTGGGAGTCAGTGTCTGGGCAGGAGGGAGGAGCTGCTGGTGGTGATGGGGCTAAGAGCTGGCTGCTGTGTTTCTCGCTCACTGCCAGAGGGACACGTGATGACCCAGGGCTTTAACATCGGCGGGCGGCGGACCGGCGAACGCCGAGCGAGTCCGATGCTGTGTCCGGGCCATTGGCTGTGAATGTCAATTAAGAATTATCGATTGCAAGTGATCACAATAACAACGCCTCGTTGATCGATGCCTTCGACAACTAATCGCCCGGCAAACGCACGCCACGGATGGTGGTAACGGCGAGGCGGTGAGCCCGAGGCAATGTTCCCACTAACAACCATCACCACCACCACCAGCACCACCACCAGCACCACCACCACCAGCACCACCACCACCAGCACCACCAGCACCAGCAGCACCACCGGCACCATCACCACCAGCACCACCACCATCACCACCATCACCACCAGCACCACCACCACCACCACCAGCACCACCAGCACCAGCACCACCACCACCATCACCACTAGCACCACCAGCACCACCAGCAGCACCACCACCACCACCAGCACCACCACCACCAGCACCACCACCACCAGCACCATCACCACCACCACCATCACCAGCTCTGCGGTCTTCTATACATTCAGGCGTTACCGCACCTCCGATTTAGCACGGTTGGCTACGTACGGTGCGAAAGAAGTTCAACGTACTGCACATAGACTAACACTACCCATAGACTAACCCAACACTACCCATAGACTAACACTGCCGATTGACTCAACACTGCCCATAGACTCAACACTGCACATAGACTAACACTACCCATAGACTAACCCAACACTACCCATAGACTAACACTGCCCATAGACTCAACACTGCACATAGACTAACACTGCCTATTGACTCAACACTGCACATAGACTAACACTGCCTATTGACTCAACACTGCACATAGACTAACACTGCCCATAGACTCAACACTGCACATAGACTAACACTGCCTATTGACTCAACACTGCCCATAGACTTAAAACTACCGATAGACTAACCCAACACTACCCATAGACTAACACTGCCTATTGACTCAACACTGCCCATAGACTAACACTACCCATAGACTAACCCAACACTACCTATTGACTCAACACTGCCCATAGACTAACACTACCCATAGACTAACCCTACACTACCCATAGACTAAAACTGCCTATTGACTCAACAGTGCACCTCGATTAGCAAGGTTGGTCACGTACGGTGCGAAAGAAGCTCAACGTCTATTCCTTACGTGACTTTACTTAAACACCCAGTCGTGCATAAAAGTTGAAGGCGGTATAGTACTATAGTAATAGAGCAAGTGCAGAATCACTGAACCGGAATTGATAGCTTGAAAACATTTAGCGCGGGGCCTTTGAAAAGTGCGGTGCCTGTAGCTACTACATATATAGTAGTAGCTACTACATATGTATTACACATGTTGTAATAGCTACTACATATGTAGTAGCTGCTACTACATATGTACTACATACTACATATGTAGTAGCTACTACATATGTAGTAGCAGTGGCGGCTCCTGCAAAATCTCTCAGGGGGGGCAAATGTCTGGATGATTGATAAGGATAAGGTCCACCCATGCAATGGATAAATTAACAGCTTAAGCATGTAAAGGCAACTTCACTTCTTTAATATTAATGAAAAATAAAGTGACTCTTACAATACATCTTGTTTGTTTCTATACTCACTATTAAAACAAACCACTCAAGTTTATTTTATTAAAGATTCCACTAGGTGGCGATAAATTATATTGTTGGATGAAACGTGCTTACGTATGATGACGTTAGCATGTATGATGACGTAAGCACGTTAGGGCAAGCCCTCCCGGAAGCCATAGAGAATGCATTGGAGCGCCCGCCGTTCGAAAAAAAACATCTTTGGATGTAAGTCTATGGGGCCACTCGTGGCGATTCTCAGCCGGAGTGAAATCGCCCAAAAAGAGGCGGTACTCCACAGAACGTAGCATGACGCTGATTGGACTATATCCAGAGGCACAGTGACGGCTCGCGTGACTCTGTGGTTCAATGACATTGGTGGTGCGTCGCCCAATCGCCCTAATGAAGAAACCGCCCCTGTGTAGTAGTAGCTACTACTACATATGTACTACATACTATTTTCTTGGTTCTTTCGGTAAAGTCACGTAGAAGGGAAATAATAAAATAATTAAAATACAATTCTCACTACATACTACATATGTCGTAGCTACTGCGATGATAATCCGGCACTGCTCCACTGGATAGAATCTCATTGTCCGGATACGTAACTGCCTCCCTGATGAACACGTTGTCGGCGAAATCACCGATTCTGTTCTTCAAGCCTTCAAATGCCGAGCACACACACTTGCGCACACACGGGGCATCTGATAACTTCACCACGCGCCTCGCACGGACTACTTTGAGTCTTTGACCTGCATACTCTTAGGTGTTTTCGGTAAAGTCATGCAGGTAAAAAATAATAGAAATAAAATAATAAATCACGACGCTTCGGAGGCAACACAAGTCTCCGTCTTCAGTTGGGACCGTCACAGCTAAATTTACTGTATCAACACTATGGGATCTCCTTTACCAGTGGCAAAATATAGTAATAGGTTTTTACCCTTTAAACTGGTACAAAATCTGACACCTTTATACAAGGCATCATGTTTGCAATAACCTCAACACAAGCAGTCAACACTTCTTGTGTTGAGGAAGTCAAGACTTCTTGTCTTGAGGTTATTGCAAACATGATGCCTTGTATAAAGGTGTCAGATTTTGTACCAGTTAAAAGGGTAAAAACCTATTACTTTACTGTATCAAGTGAAGAGAAATCCAAAGGACAAGATCTCAAATACTGGTTAAGGGGAGGGGTGAGGGGCTTATCTAAATGTGGCAGTCAGGGGCTGAGCTGCAGTCAACCAATGGTCATGCCGATTAGATGTCCTCACGTCCGACTTGGCTTTTGTTCACAATTGCACAGAAATTAAACAACAACAACAAAAATGATGGAACCGGTGGGTATTCACATCTCGCTGTGCCACGCACTCGGCCAACCTACTTGCGGATGACCGCTGCAAAGTATGATCTTGAGTTTTGATTATAGTGTGCTGATCTTTAAAGGTGTATTGAAAAATGTTGATACTGCTACTGATACTTCTGCTGTTATGGAGTGACTCATGCAGCCAGCTATGGCTGCAAAGTTTGGTCCTACATGTGATGTATATCGTTTACTGTTAAATTTGAATCACAGTTACGACGATCACTGTTACATTGTTTTTATAGCTTTCTTTTGGTGATTTTGAAAACTTTTTGGTTTAGCCATGCTTGTTTGTCGTAGTACAGAGTTAGCCTAATAACTTTAATCTAAATTGTCTTATGGTTGTTATTGTTTGACTTGCATCCCACTGGGAGTTTTGCACAAAGCGTTGAAATGCGGTGCTTTTTCTGCAAGACTTTCCTGTTTTTTTCCTGGATTTTTCTGTTGCGTGTAGTCACTTTAAGATGTTTCTTGTTCATGTTTTTGTTTTGTTGCGGTTGCACCCGAGCCAAGAGCCGCATGGCTCACAGGGTCATACCTGATAAATGAAACTGAAAACTGAACATACTTGCGCCCGAAAGAATTCGCTCCACCGCACGGTTTGAATTCAATCTCCGTGCGGCGATGCAGTCAGCACGTGGGGCATAATGTGCTTGTGCGTGCGTGATGTGCTTGTGCGTGTGTGTGGATCTCGATGTCCACGTGTCTTCCCCCTCTGTCTCCTCCAGCACCGCCAACGAGGCTCAAGCCCGCGCCGGCTCGCGACGAGTTGGTCTTTGACGGCGGTGTCCGAGTTCGATTCCTTTACTCTCCCTCCATGCTGCCTCTTCCCCCCCCCACCCCCCGTCTCGACCTCCCTGCCCTCTCCCCTTGTGACCCCCACCAGACGTGTCTCCCATCGTGGTGGGAATCCTGGGCGCGACGGCGCTGGTGGTGGCGGCGGCCGTCACCGCGCTGTCGTGGGCCTGCTGCCGGCGTCGTGGCGGGGACGGCTCCAAGCCGGCGGCGAGCCCGCCCTACCGCCTCGTCCACATGCTCAAGGGCGTCACCGACATCTACGGCGCTGGCGAGAAGCGCCACCCGATGCGCGGCAAGCGCGGCTCCGAGCAGCAGCAGCAGCCGCCGCAACAGCAACAGCAGCAGCAGCAAGCGGGCAGCGACCGGCACGGCAAAGGCGGTGCCGCCGCCGCCGCCACGCTCAATAACAACAACAACAACGTGGTGGTGGTGCGGTTCGGCAGCGAGAGGCTGGCGCCCGCGACGGCGCTGTGCAGTCCCGACCGGGCCGGCGGCGGTTCCGGCGGCGGCGGCCTCGGCTTCGGCTCCGGCCCGGTGCGCACGCCGCCCATCATCGAGCCGTTCCGCCACGTCAGGAACGGCGGCGGCGCGTTCCCCGACAAGTGCAGCCCCTCGTCGTCGGCGGCGGCGGCGGTGCCGGCGTCGTCCTCCTCCTCGTCGTCCCTGTCGTCGTCAGCGGCGACGAAGGCCGGCTCCCCGCACACCCCGCCGTACCTCTCGTCGCTCTCCTCCTCCTCATCCTCCTCGTCCTCCTCCTCGGCGGCGGCGGCGGCGGCGGGGGGCTCGGCGCCGCCGGAGGACCAGCCGCTGGGCGCGCTCTGCTTCTCGGTCGAGTACAACTTCGCCAGGAAGGCGCTCGTGGTGACGATCCAGGGCGCGCGCGGCCTGCCCGCCATGGACGGCCAGACGGGCAGCTCGGACCCCTACGTCAAGATGACCATCCTGCCCGAGAAGAAGCACAAGGTGAAGACGCGGGTGCTGCGGCGCACGCTCGACCCCTCCTTCGACGAGACGTTCACCTTCTACGGCGTCCCGCACGCGCAGCTCCAGGGCCTCGTGCTGCACTTCCTCGTGCTCAGCTTCGACCGCTTCTCCCGCGACGACGCCATCGGCGAGGTGATGGCGCCACTCGCCGGCGTTGAGCTCGGCGGGGACAAGGTGACGCTGACGCGCGACATCGTCAAGAGGAACATACAGGTACGGCCACCACCCCCCCCCCCACCCCCTTGTGCTCCGTGCACCGCGCCACGCTGCTGAGCCGTGCGGACCACCGACCCGCCGATGCGGCCCATTAGAAATTGTTTTTGCTCGCTGGTATTTTGGAATTTCACCAAAGTTCCACGTTCCCTCGAGACGGACTCATCAGGCGGCAGGGAGACCCCCTTCGTGTCCGTGGAGAACGGCCCCACGGAAGTGGAGCTCATGGAGCTACGTCCTGAGCTCCCTAATCTCAGCTCCAGCGGACAGTGACGAGAGGGCATCACTTTCCCGCCCGCTCGGCATGTCGAGAGCGTGCCGGTCGCAATCGTCACGTCGCTGCTTTTTTCTTTTTACATTCCCACAGCTGGAAATTAGCCCAATTAAGTGCAGAGCCCAGTTTAGCTCGATGATGTTTTTTACATGTATTTATTCATTCTATTTTTTTTTTACGCATTTAAAAGGCAACCATCAGCTCGCGACGCCTGAGAACCACGTCTAATCACGGGTGGCGGCCGAGACCCGGATTCGAACCCAGGGGCCTGGGCCGTGCGGCCTCAATGCGTCTCTGGCCCCTGGGCCAACCCGGCCGCTCCTTCGTGGACGTTCCACTTACAACGGCCGATTGGGACGGATACGAACCCCCCCCCACCACGCCCCCCCCCCGCATCACGGCCACTGTCATTACCACCGCCATCACTGCCACTGTCATCACGGCCACTGTCATCACGGCCACCATCATCACCATCACCACCATCATCACCATCACCACCACCACCATCACCACCACCATCATCACCATCACCACCACCATCACCGCCACTACCATCATGGCCATTGTCATCACCATCACCACCACCATCACGGCCACCATCATCACCATCACCACCACCATCACCATCACCACCACCATCACCACCACTGCCATCACGACCACCATCATCACCACCACCACCATCATCACCATCACCACCACCATCAACACCACCATCACCGCCACTGTCATCACGGCCACTGTCATCACGGCCACTGTCATCACCACCATCACCATCACCACCACCATCATCACCACCACCATCACCGCCACTGTCATCACGGCCACTGTCATCACCGCCACTGTCATAAGTGCGGTCGTTATTCTTGGCACCGCTGCACTGAGCAGATGATTGTCAAATCGGCCGGGGAAATAAACACCCACCAGGCAGCTGCCTGCAAAATCATTTGCAGTCATTTTTTTTTTCAAATCCGCGTGTGAAACTGATATTCCAATCTCTTTTAATTTCACTCTAACGGCCGTAGTTTTAGTTTTATTATATTTTTTTACCCTTCATCTCCTCTCTTCGCGGAAAGTGCGGCGGGCGGCGGGTGCGTGGATTTACAGCGCCGTTTAGAATCCTAACGAGCCGTTTGCCGAACGTCGTCTGAGCGCCGTTGTCGAGAAATTTGCATTCACCAAATCGCCGCGCGAGTAGAGGCGTGGAGGGGGTGGGAGCGGTGCCCGTGTAATCGCGCCGGAGGAACTTCGAGCGGGGATTCCGTCGGTGCCCCGTCGCAGCTCGCCGTGCCGCCTCGTGAACCGCGCTCACCGACAATCTGAAGCGCCGTTTGCCAAAACCGCAGCGGGTGGGCTCCTTGCCCGCGTCTGCGGGGCCACGTTGCAAGTCCCCGCCGAAACTGCGGCTTTGTGGATCCCCCTCCCCCCCACCCCGTAACTTCTCCTGTTCCCAGTCAATGTCTACTGCTACTACTACCAATATTTGTGTTGATAATTGTTTTTTTACCCTTCTATCTGGCAACAAAACTGACACGTTTTTTTTTTACAAGGAGTCATGTTTGCATAGACCACAATACCTGCGGTCGTAATGCAAACAAAAAACATAACTCTGATAATGTATGCACTGTCCTTGAAGTTGATTGGTCCACAACCGAGACAGCTTTCCTTAGAGCCTAGTCTCACATGGGTTGGACCAGTTGACGCCAAAAGGCGCACAACTCAAAGACAATGCACCATCAGAGTATGAGAGCTCGGGGTTTGAGTTGTGCGCCTTTTGGCGTCATCTGGTCCAACCCATGTGAGACTAGGCTCTAAGGAAAGCTGTCTCGGGTGTGGACCAATCAACTTCAAGGACAGTGCATACATTATCATAGTTATGTTTTTTGTTCGCATTATGACTGCAGGTATTGTGGTCTATGCAAACATGACTCCTTGTAAAAAAAGGTGTCAGTTTTGTTGCCAGATAGAAGAGTAAAAAAACTGTTATTATATTTTTTACTGGCAAATGAGGTTCCAATGGAATATTTGTGTTATTGTATTAGGTAACTGAGCTGTGTGCAGCTCTTTTTCAGAAGCGGCCTGGCCATCGTAAATGACAGCGCGAAACGAAGTTTTGCTGATCGCGTGGACTTCTAAACGTGGAGGGGGTTAAAACCGGAGGGCTCCGGACACATTTTTTTTTCAAAATCCACGCGACTACAGGGAGAGAAAGACACGCAAACTACAAATATACAGCAGGCGTCGTCAGGGTCGGGATCGAACCCACGACCTCCTCTATACCAGGCGAGGTAGTAAACATCTCCTAGCCGCCGTGATGATGATGAGAGAGGGAGAGAGACACGCAAACTCCAAATATACAGCAGCAGGCATCAAGGTCGGGATCGAACCCACGACCTCTTCCTTAACCAGGCGAGGTAGTTAACATTTCCTAGCCACCGTGATGATGATAAGAGAGAGAGAGAGACATGCAAACTCCAAATATACAGCAGCAGGCGTCGGGGTCGGGATCGAACCCACGACCTCCTGCATACCGGGCGAGGTAGTTAACATCTCCTAGCCACCGTGATGATAAGAGAGAGAGAGAGAGACACGCAAACTTCAAATATACAGCAGCAGGCGTCAGGGTCGGGATCGAACCCACGACCTCCTGCATACCAGGCGAGGGAGTCAACATCTCCTAGCCACCACGGCGCCCTTATCCCGGGGCGAGCGGTGGTGCCGTGTGGGCCTTGCCCCCCACGCGCGGGGGATCGGGGCACGCCGCGTGGCAACCAAAATCAGCCGCCGTCAACAGCGCACAGGGAGAACGTGGCAATTAGCGCCTTTTCAGCTTAATTGCCCATTCTGCCGGAGGCAAGAGAAGAGATGTCGGGAAGAAACGACGGCCCTGCTCACTTAATTGGCGCGGGCCCCCACGTCCAAGGAGCCCCCCCCCCACCGCCCCCTGTCCCCGTGCCTCGCCGCGCGATTAACGACGGGACACGAATTTGCGTCGCGTTCAGTGTCGATGACTTCCCTTCTCCCCTCCACGCTCTCCTCCCCCTCCTGTCTCACGCTCCCTTCCCCTCTTGCTCGCCCGCTCTCTTAAATATCCTCCTTCCACTTTCCTCTTCTGCCGTTTGCATCCTCCCCCCTCTCCTCCACGTGACGCCTTCTCTCTTCTCCCGTCCCCTCCTCTCCCTCCCCACTTCCTCTCCCCTTCCCTCCTTTCACTCCCTCTCCCTCCCCCTCCTAACCCTCCTACTTCATCTCCCCGTCCCTCCACTACCTCCCCCTCCTCTCCCTCCCTCTTCCTCTCTCCTTACCTCCTCTCCTCTCCCTCCCCCTCCTTCCCTCCCTCTTCATCTCCCTCTTTCTTTCTCTCCTCTCCCCCCTCCTCTCCCTCCCTCCTCCTCTTCCTCTCCCCTTACCTCCTCTCCTCTCTCTCCCCCTTCTCTCCCTCCCCCTCCTCTCCCTTTTTCTTTCTATCCTCTCCCCCCTGCTCTCCCTCCCCCCCTCCTCTCCATCCCCCCTCGTCTCCCTCCCCCCTCCTCTTCCTCTCCCCTCCCCCCTCCTCCCCTCCCTCCCCTCTCCCCTCCCTCTCCCCCCTCCTCCCCTCCCTCTCCCCTCCCTCTCCCCCCTCCTCTCCCTCCCCCTCCCCTCCCTCCCCCCTCCCCCCCTCTATCTCGCTGCGCTGGACAGAAGTCCGTGGGCCGCGGGGAGCTGCTGCTGTCCCTCTGCTACCAGCCGTCCACCAGCCGCCTCACCGTGGTCGTGCTCAAGGCCAGACACCTTCCCAAGACGGACATCGCCGCTCTCTCTGGTACCGCCACCTCATCTCCCTCCAACTCATCTTCCTCCAACTCATCTTCCTCCACCTCTTCCTCCAACTCATCTTCCTCCACCTCTTCCTCCAACTCATCTTCCTCCAACTCATCTTCCTCCAACTCATCTTCCTCCAACTCATCTTCCTCCAACTCATCTTCCTCCACCTCTTCCTCCAACTCATCTCCCTCCAACTCCTCTTCCTCCAACTCTTCCTCCAACTCATCTTTCTCCACCTCTTCCTCCAACTCATCTCCCTCCAACTCATCTTCCTCCACCTCATCTTCCTCCACCTCTTCCTCCAACTCATCTTCCTCCACCTCTTCCTCCACCTCTTCCTCCAACTCTTCCTCCAACTCATCTCCCTCCAACTCATCTTCCTCCACCTCTTCCTCCAACTCATCTTCCTCCAACTCATCTTCCTCCACCTCTTCCTCCAACTCATCTTCCTCCAACTCATCTTCCTCCAACTCATCTCCCTCCAACTCATCTTCCTCCAACTCATCTTCCTCCACCTCATCTCCCTCCAACTCATCTTCCTCCAACTCATCTCCCTCCAACTCATCTCCCTCCAACTCATCTTCCTCCAACTCATCTTCCTCCACCTCATCTCCCTCCAACTCATCTTCCTCCAACTCATCTTCCTCCAACTCATCTCCCTCCAACTCATCTTCCTCCAACTCATCTTCCTCCAACTCATCTTCCTCCAACTCATCTCCCTCCAACTCATCTCCCTCCAACTCATCTTCCTCCAACTCATCTTCCTCCACCTCATCTCCTCCAACTCATCTTCCTCCAACTCATCTTCCTCCACCTCATCTTCCTCCAACTCATCTTCCTCCAACTCATCTTCCTCCAACTCATCTTCCTCCACCTCTTCCTCCACCTCTTCCTCCAACTCATCTTCCTCCAACTCATCTTCCTCCACCTCTTCCTCCAACTCATCTTCCTCCAACTCATCTTCCTCCACCTCTTCCTCCAACTCATCTCCCTCCAACTCATCTTCCTCCAACTCCTCTTCCTCCAACTCATCTTCCTCCACCTCTTCCTCCACCTCTTCCTCCAACTCTTCCTCCAACTCATCTCCCTCCAACTCATCTCCCTCCAACTCATCTTCCTCCACCTCTTCCTCCAACTCATCTTCCTCCAACTCATCTTCCTCCACCTCATCTCCTCCAACTCATCTTCCTCCACCTCTTCCTCCAACTCATCTTCCTCCAACTCATCTTCCTCCAACTCATCTTCCTCCACCTCTTCCTCCACCTCATCTCCCTCCAACTCATCTTCCTCCACCTCTTCCTCCAACTCATCTTCCTCCACCTCATCTCCCTCCAACTCATCTTCCTCCACCTCTTCCTCCACCTCATCTCCCTCCAACTCATCTTCCTCCACCTCTTCCTCCAACTCATCTCCCTCCAACTCATCTTCCTCCACCTCTTCCTCCAACTCATCTTCCTCCACCTCATCTTCCTCCAACTCATCTTCCTCCACCTCATCTTCCTCCACCTCTTCCTCCAACTCATCTCCTCCAACTCATCTTCCTCCACCTCATCTTCCTCCACCTCATCTTCCTCCACCTCATCTTCCTCCAACTCATCTTCCTCCAACTCATCTTCCTCCACCTCATCTTCCTCCACCTCATCTTCCTCCACCTCATCTTCCTCCAACTCATCTTCCTCCAACTTATCTTCCTCCACCTCTTCCTCCAACTCTTCCTCCAACTCATCTCCAACTCATCTTCCTCCACGTTTTCCTCCAACTCATCTTCCTCCACCTCATCTTCCTCCACCTCTTCCTCCAACTCATCTTCCTCCAACTCATCTTACTCCAACTCATCTTCCTCCACCTCTTCCTCCAACTCTTCCTCCAACTCATCTCCAACTCATCTTCCTCCACCTCTTCCTCCAACTCATCTTCCTCCACCTCTTCCTCCAACTCATCTTACTCCAACTCATCTTCCTCCACCTCTTCCTCCAACTCTTCCTCCAACTCATCTCCAACTCATCTTCCTCCACCTCTTCCTCCACCTCATCTTCCTCCAACTCATCTTACTCCAACTCATCTTCCTCCACCTCTTCCTCCAACTCTTCCTCCAACTCATCTCCAACTCATCTTCCTCCACCTCTTCCTCCAACTCATCTTCCTCCAACTCATCTTACTCCAACTCATCTTCCTCCACCTCTTCCTCCAACTCTTCCTCCAACTCATCTCCAACTCATCTTCCTCCACCTCTTCCTCCAACTCATCTTCCTCCACCTCATCTTCCTCCAACTCATCTTCCTCCACCTCATCTTCCTCCACCTCTTCCTCCACCTCTTCCTCCAACTCATCTTCCTCCACCTCTTCCTCCAACTCATCTTCCTCCAACTTATCTTCCTCCACCTCTTCCTCCAACTCTTCCTCCAACTCATCTCCAACTCATCTTCCTCCACCTCTTCCTCCACCTCATCTTCCTCCAACTCCTCTTCCTCCAACTCATCTTCCTCCACCGCCCCTTCCAGACACGGTGGAGAATTCTCAGCAGATTCAGGAGTCGGCCACTGCAATGAGCTTCAAGCGACTCGGACATTCACCATTTTAAACCGGTTGTCGATGAACAGATTTAAAAAAATATATCTAATTTTTCTTCGTTTATCCATTAATCAATATTTTATACGTACAATTGATTCGTGGGTTTAATCAATGCAACGACGAACGGATAGCGCTCAAGCGCCGCGCGGACACGCCAGTGGCCTACTTGCTGTACTGCCTCCATCAGACACCACCTCACATCCCTCCTCCCGGCCCAACGTGGCCACCAAGACACCCGGCCTCACCACAAACCACTCGCATCGCTCTCACCCCTCCCTCCCTTCCCTCTCCACACCGCTCCCCTCTCTTTTTTTTATTTGTATTTTTTAAATTTTTTTATTTTTTTTACAATCAGTGGAAACAAGAAGATGCTCGGTGTATTCGCCACTTTGCTTCGTTCATCATTTCGTACATTTCCGCGCCACCCCCCCCCCCCCCCCCGTCCCTCCTCTCCCTCCGCGCAGACCCCTACGTGAAGGTGAACGTGCACGTGGGCAACAAGCGCGTGGCCAAGAAGCGCACGCACGTCAAGCGCTGCACCCTCAACCCCGTCTACAACGAGTCGTTTGCCTTCGACGCGCCCGGCGAGTGGCTCTCCGAGCTCTCGGTCGAGTGCCTCGTCGTCAACTCCGACCGGGTCACCAAGAGCGAGGTCATCGGGCGGCTCGTGCTGGGCCACGGCGGCGCCGCAGCCGCCGCCGCCGCCGGCGTCTCGGCAGCTGCCGAGCACTGGCGTGAGATCTTCGAGAACCCGCGGCGCCAGGTCGCCAAGTGGCATTGCCTCGGTGAGTTTTAAGGCGCCGGGCGGGCGCGGAGGCGCAGGCGACGCGAGAGGATCGATCTGTCCGAGGAGGAGGCGGTGGTGGTGGTGGTGGAGGGGTGCGCTTTAAGTTGGCGACGTTTGTTAACAATGTTTTGTTTTGGTTGCGTCCTGCACCCCTCCCCCCCACTCCTCCTCTCCTCCTCTCGTCCGTGCCGCGGCGTTGATTTGGCGTCGTGCAAATTGTTCGGTTTTGCCCCAACGGTTTCGCGGAGAGGGAGGGAGGGAGTCGCTCTCTGTTTGAGCTTCCCTCGGTTTTTTTTACTTTTCTTCTGTTTGTTGATTTAGCAAATAATTTTTGTTGATTTCCCGACCCGGGGGGGGGGGGGTGGGGGGGGCGTCGTAGGCACCCCCCCCTGCCCCCCCCTTCCGAAGGGTCATCAGTAAAACTCCGCGGCTGGATTCTCGGCACTGTTTGCGTTCGCCTCTTGCAGACGTTGCGTCCGCCGATTTCCTCGACTTCTGGTCATTGTTGAAGTGTCCCGTTAGTCATTATCGCACTTTATATTCACCGATATTCATATCTTCGTTCACTTTCACTGGTAAATTATGAAACCGTCATGGACGCGAAGAAATTCGAACCAGTGCGCAATATAACTGCCGCTTCCAGTAGCTATTGATACTCGATCACTTGCAAAATTTGTTAAAAAAATAAACCACGTGATTGAAAATGCCACCACCTAGCACCTGCGTTAAGTACTTTTAGCCGTGCCTGAGAATCCAGCCGAGGTGAGTTTGCTGGCCACTGCTCTCCGAAGCCTTCCGCCTGTTGGGACCCTTAAAAACCCACAGAAGTAGCAGCAACAGCAGCAGCGGCAGCAGCAGCAACAGTGGCAACAGCAGCGGCAGCAGCAGCAGCAGCGGCAGCAACAGTGGGAACAGCAGCGGCAGCAACATCTGTAGGCAACCGCCACACTCGCTTCTCCTGCAGCAGTTACCGCAGTTGCATCGGCCTCTCTCAAAACCTTACGTGGATAGGATCCACGCTGCCATTGTACTCGGCATCAGTATACGTGACACGAAAGTCACCTTTCGAGTAAGAATTCAAAACGACGGGTAATCGCACCCTCTAATTTCTCGCATCCGCACCTACGATTAGCGCGGCTGGCAGCGTGCGGGCGAAGACCTCGCGACACCTCGAACGCCGCCGACCGATTTTGCCCACGTGCGGAGGGCGTCTCGTCGCTAGCCTGGCCGCGTGGCCTCCCGCAAATTCAATCAAAAGACGAGCGAGAACTGCCGGCTGCGTAGCGCCGTTCGGCGTCGGACGACGGCGGCGGCGGGCACGGCCGTCGTGGTCCCAGAGCTCCGTTCCCTCGTTCGTCCAGAGACGCTGGAATTGAACCAGGAGGGGGGGGGGAGGGGGTGGGTTAAAGGATGGGATTCGCATTTCCGCCGGATGCTTTTGCTTGAACGTCTCGGCGGCATCGATGCGCGCGGTGCGTCGCGTCTCATCTCGAGCATTCCATTGCCCTAGCGCAGCCGGAGCTTCGAGGGTAGCGGGCGCTGGGGGGGGGGGGGTGACGACTCCCGATGTTAGCGCAAGCTTCGCACGGCACCTGCCTGCGTATTGGTGTGCGTGTGTGCGTGTGTCTGCCAGCAAGGGAGGGGGTGGTGTGATGTTTGCGATGTGTTTTTGTTGTTCTCTCTCTCTCACGTAGGGAAGTGCGTCATGGCCGCGCGCGCGCGGTCGTGTTTTCGTAGAGAGAGTTCAGAAGCGATGGGAAAGGAAGCTTAAGAGGAAAGATTTTGACGAAACAAAAAAAAATATTGATAACCCACCCCCCACCCCCCCCCAAAAAAAATACGCCACGATCATCACTCATGGGGATGTTTTGCGTTTGATTTAATCACCGATCGTCTATGCAAATTCATCTGGGTTTGGGGCGCCTGCACGAATGTGCGAGCGCGTAGGCCCACGCGAGATTATTTTTTTTCCCCCCTCGTTTATTTATTTTTGACCCATTCGCGATCAATCGCAGTTCAAAGTAAAGAAGTCCGTCGATCGGCGTTGGGGACGACGCGAAAATCGGAGGCGTGGGGTGGTGGTCGGGGGTCAGGGGGTCAAGGGGTCAGGGGGTCAGGAGGTCAGGGGGTCGCATTGCCGGAGCGCGTCAAACCGTTTGTGCCCGCCACGCCGCTTGACCGGTTCAGGCCCCATTTCTCGCACGTTCATTTGCGCCACATTGCGCAGGAGACGAAGAAAAATGCATCTTACCATTTAACGAGTGAAACAAAAAAAAATATATATAAACATATTCCTCTCGTTGTCGTTAATTACAATAACGAACACAATATTCCCCGCCGCTCAAATTTTTTTTTGTGATTTTTCCATTCGGGTGGGAGCAGAACGTCGATCATCAACGTCTACGGATGTTTGAGGTCAGAGGTCGGGACTGTACGTATGTATTTTGAACTTCTTTCGCACCGTACGTAGCCAAGCGTGCCTATCGGAGGTGCGGGGGAAGGACAACAAACGAAAGGCAAAAAACCAATTCTGAAGAAATGAGTTTACAATCTAGATGATGATTAAAAAGTGCATAGCTCTAGTGGATTCCTAAAATCCGAGAGAAGAACGTTCCAGACGGCCGCAGAAGCGCGTCTGAAAACGCCGCGATGCGGCGACCGCCGTCTTTCTTCGACGGTTGCCCAAAAGTCGCCGCTGCCGCGAGGATGACAGGAACTGCTTCGGCGCGGTCACGTGACCGTCTTGACAAACGCCGATCGTCAATGTAGGGGACACGCGCGCTCGTTACTCGCGACCCCGAAAAGCGCAGGGCAGGACCCGGACCAACAGCGACGGGACCAACAGTGGCGCTGCGCGCACGAACACGGACGGGTCGCGCAAGTCCACAAGCGCCCTGCCCCCCCTCCCGGTCTCACCTTTAACCGAACGCGACGTCCCTCCGTCGGTCGGATGAAGACCTCGGAAACCCCGCGCTGCGGTCGAAATGTCTCAGTCGGTGGGGAGTAGAAAGTTGCGTGGGGGAGGCTGCCGTGGCGCCACGGTGGAGCCGGTCTGCTCAGTCGGGAGGTCGCCGGTTCAACCTCCCCCGAGCGGGAGTTGAAACGATGGGGGCGATCTTCTCTTAAATCCCCCCCGGTCACAGCCGGTGTATCGGCGGGTCACGCGCGGTGGGGTAAAGCACGTGGGTTGCTACCCACCGCTTCCAAAGACGTCTGACCGGCGTGGAAGAAAAAGTCCGGCCCCCCAGCGAAAGGCTCCCCCCCCCTGCCGCCAGCGGCGGGCGCGAGCAAAGGAATTTCAGGCCTGCGCCTCTGCCCCCCGTGGCTTTGGGGTGGCGTAAACCCCCATGTCGCTCGCCACGCGAGGCGAAAGCCGCCCTCCGGATGGACGCCGGAGGAAGCGCTTGCGACGATCGTGTCGCGTCAATTCCACGTTCCTTCGATGGGACCCCCCTCCCTGGGCGCGTGAACGGCGTAATGAGTTTAAAGTTGAAACGCAGCGGCGGTCACCGTCGGCGTGACTGCGGCGCCGGGTGCATCATCACTAACCGGTACTCCCCCCCCCGCCTCCCACGCGCACACACCGCGCGCACAAAGACAAAGATCACCCGGATAGCCTGAACAGACTGTTGCGGCAAGTGCTGTTAACGAGTTGCACCTACGAAGGCCAACGTGGCACACGTGGTGTGTTGTCAGCGACTCGCCCGGCCCCCTTTGTCTCCCTCGTGGCAAAGTTTGCACACCGCACCAGGTACACGTTTGAGGCCGAGTCTACCGACGGGAGGCCCACAACAAAACAAACGTACAAACACACACACACTGGCCAACTGCCACTGGCCGACGCTGCAATGTTCAAGCAACGTTGAACAAACTGCAGCGGGCAGCACCTCCCTGTGGTGTGCACAGTGACACCGCCGCCACTAACCGTGGCACCGCTAAGGGTAACACCGCTAATGATGACACCGCCACAGTGAGTGCAATGGGGACATCAGCGATGGGGACGGGTTGCGACGTCAACTCTGTCACGCGGCACACGACGGCACCCCCCCCCCCCCGCCGCCTGTCCCCAAAGAGAAGGGTGAGAGTGTTTACAAAAAAAATGAAAAAAACGAAAAAAAATGTTCGAAAGTTGCATCGTTATGAAAATTCGAAAGCAGATAACAATTGGTAATTGTTTTTTTTACCCTTTTATCTGGCAGATAAAAGGGTAAAAATAACATTTATCATATTTTGCTACTGGCAAAGGAGGTTCCAATGGCAGATAACAATTCATATGCTTGGGTCTTTCGGTGAGGTTATGTTAGCCGACTCTCCGTGTTGTATTGCATTGTATTTCTAAGTTTACCAGGTTTCTTTTCTCTTTCATTTGTACCTGATGACGATTGCTTGTGTTGCAATCGATTCTATTATTTAATTTATTTCCTATCTACGTGACTTTACCGAAAGACCCAAGAAGATGAATTCCTGCAGTCACGAAAGCTTTAAGTCAGGATTCAGATAAGAACTGTAAAATCCCTTCTGTAAGGCCAGATTTTAGTTACTTACGTTAAAATCTGGTTTTCTTCGGTGGCCACCGAACCCATTTCCGGTTCTGATACAAATGCGGAGCATGCTGTTGACCACCGCAGGCATAATTCCCATTGCCGTGGCCCTGCGTGCGTGTGTGCGTGTGTGCGTGTGTGTGTGCGTGTGTGTGTGTGCGTGTGTGCGCGCGTGTGTGTGCGCGTGCGTGCGTGCATTCCGTTGTCCCGGCTCCACTGCTCCGCTCGCTCGCTCGTCCGCTGTCGATTGCGCTTCACATGGAAGACAATTCGCTTCTGGCCACGGCCTCTCACTGCCCCCCCCCACCAACCCACGAACCCACCGATCACCAACTCGCGCCGCTCCCCGAACAAATCCACGGCGGCTGACGCCCGGCTCGTGCCTGCGGCTCGTTCGAGCGCGACGCGACGAGTTTACTCCACGGGGGAGGTGAGGGGGGGGGCAAGAGCTTCCTTCAGGCACCCCAATTAAAGAGACCCCCTCCACCCCCCCCCCCCCCCCCGGCGCACGTGGGTGCTGAACGTCCCCCCGACGTCGTGCCGAACGGCTGCCACGCGCCGGGCTCGTGATGGGGGGGGGGGGGTACATACTCTTCGTTCTTTCGGTAAAGTCACCACGTAGGTAAAAAATGAAATTTAAATTAATAAAAATAAAATAATAAAATCACGACGTTTCGGAGGCAACACAAGTCTCCGTCATCAAGTGATTTGCTGCATCAAGTGAGGCAGAAATTCCAAGATGCAAGCTCTTAAATACAAGTTAAGGGGGAGGAGAGGGGGGGGGAGG